GGGCCGTTTCTGAAACCTAGCTTGCATCAATGCAAAGTATATCTGTCTACCTTGCATCGAATACCTGCTTGTACGGCCTGGTTAAGCTTGTAATTAACTGAATATTAACCACTTCGCATACCAAACTCAATGAAAGCTACTTTGAAGGGGAAAATATATTCAAAATTTAGCATTTTTAATGCATTGAACTGTGTTCATTTTGTGCTGATTCAAAATTAATCATTATTATAGACACTCCAATACGTGCCAGTTTTGGTTATAGCCTTTGGATATAACGATACGTCGCAAGACGCCTGGCTGCTGCTGTTGTTGACGGCGGTATTTTTATTTGATACTTAAACGATGGCTCCAGGATGGTTAAACAAAAAATAGGCTCTAAGTTTATTAACGTTTCTTTAAGGGTTTACTTAAAATAATCATAACTTACACCTCTCATGTTGAGTTGCTATTTTACCGCTCCATGTAAAAACCTTATCCTACGCCCTTGTCGGCAAAACTTCAGCCGATTAAGAAGTATCCGAATTTGGATGCCTAAAAACAACGCTTAGAAAACAAGGGTCAACTTCAATTCAATTTCAGTAGTAATTGTCATCAGCACATATAAGTTCTTACTGTTCACATGTCAATCTAAAATATATATCTTTGTGGCTCAAGCGACATCTTTATTAGCACAGCGTTGTTCTTACGGCCAGTCCTTACGGCTGTGCATGTAACATGTACGATTTAGCAATACCTCATAGAAACTCACTCAAATAACTTATCAATGCAAAAAAAGCCAACAAAACAATTAGTTATCATTTTAGTCATCGTAACCCGCAGATACTACTGAGTATTTAGTATACTTAAAGCATGTCCTAGGAAACACGCATGTTTACGTGTACACTATTAATGAGCACCCTGCCCTCACTTTAGCGCTCGAATATCAATTACAAATTATTACAAAGTAAATAATATCAAAACGATGCCGCCTTCGGATAATGAATAGTCTTGTGCAAATCCCCATATGTTCACTGGGAAAACATGCATTTACTGATGTCAGCTACACAATCCAGTTTTAACCAAAAAACCGCCTTCGCTGATCTCGGCAGCCAGTAGAAATCTAAAATATTTTCCAATGATTTGTCCGGAAAAGCGTGACAGGCACAGCAATTTAGTGTGACGGACATACAGGTTGCTGCAATAGATGTTTAAGACTAGCCGTTCGCCGCCGCTACGCCGCGGAGTGGCATGGTTTGTTGGAGATGTGATGGCCGCAAATTTAAGTGCTTCTTGGTGTCGCGTATTTTGTGAGCATCGTTCACCCCAGTAGGTCGCGGCATCGTGAATTTAACCACTTGCATTTCCGTAGTCTCATGTGGCCCTGTATAATATCGTGGTTTGGAACAGTTCCGCTACCCCGTACTACAGGTGAGATGTTGTTTTCTTCAATGATCCATGGTCTTTCGTGCTCTTCCCGGCTTCGTAGTTCCTGGTCACCCGTGGCCCACGCTGCTTAGCGGTTATGCGCTCTCTCTTATGGGTTTATGCTCTTTAGTACGGCCTTTTCGTAAATGCCAATTTTTCTCTGCTCTCAAACGTTTACGTGGGTTGCACTGGCTTCGTGGTAGATACTATTTCGTGACCATTGGTCTTCCATCGCCGGTGCTCTAGCCGAAGTGTGCTATTCCGAGGTTTGGTGTCTCCATACAGTCGTGTTGTTCCGTCGCCCGTGTATCGTGCTCTCCTGGTGACGTTCCATCGACCGCGGTATCACGCTATCGTGCAATCACGGTGTTGTAATGCTGTCTATGGTATTGTGCTCACGTTGTGTATCTGCGTTGGCCGTGTTATCGTGCTCTACAATGGCATCGTGCTCCACAGTGTGCAGTCGTGGTCACCCCAAGCGCCCACCTCCCCGTTTATTTCGTGGCTGGTCCACCGTCCGTGCAATTGAGTTCTAATGTACTACTGTCCTCCGTGGCTCGGTAAGCTCAGGTTCAACACTGGTATCGCTCTCCGCGGCTTGGTGATTTCCCGTCTGTAGCTCCACGGCTGTGCTCCTCCATGGCTTAGTGGCACAGTCCATGCTATCGTGCTAGCTTGTAGTGTTGCGGCTGGTTTGTCGTCCGTAAGATCGCTAGCTACCGTAGTATCGTGATGTCGGACTCGGTGAGCCCCGGTTCTACCCTAATATCGCGTCCCAATACTCGGTGATATCCCGCTTATGGTCTCCCGCGGGTTCATGTTTGGTCCGCCCATGTGCTACGTGCTCCACCGTGGCGCTATTGGAGAATACGTTTCCGCGCACACTTACCGCTACGTGCTCTACTGTGGCCTCGAATGTGCGAGCTCTTCCGTAGTCGTACTTTTCAGCATGCTGGGGTGTCTATATAGTTAGTATCTTTCCGTGGCCCGTACGCTCCCGTCATATTCTTATCCTTCTGTCCTTTTCATGGCTGTGTGCTCTTCCGCCTGTCACGTTACCCATACAACTTTGTGGTTTGCATCAGCTAAGTCTTCTGTCATCGTTCATCCTTCCGTGCTTCATGTTGCTCTTCTATCCCATCGTGTACATAGTGTGGGTCGGTGTTACTTCGTTTTCGTGTTCTTGCTTAGTCACGTGCCTCCGCGCTACTTAATCACAAACGCTGTTCCCATTTTGTTCGATGTACGCAACATATATTGTTGGAAAGTTCACACAATATCTTAAGGTCGCACACTACGTGTGCAAATACAAAGGAAGATGATACTTTTTTTCGGGGGTAAGCCACAATAGTCATATTTTAAAGTTCTCGCAATATTATTAATAGTAATAAGTAATGATTTATTATCGAACGCTGATAAAATATTTATGTGTACTACTACTACCAATAACCGCAAACAAAAATATGATGTATACATTTTTTTATAGTACTACGCATAACGGTTTTGTAAGTTTTATTATTTCAAAAGTATTACGAAGCCTTAAATATCATTCTAAAACCAATAAGTACTAAAGTTTCGATTGAGGCCGAAATATTGGTCACCAAAGCCTACATTTTTTTACAACAGCTCCTACGACGATATATTACGTGTGTGCGCATTGGCGCCTTCTACCAATGCTAACTAACGCGCACACAGGCAGCGCCCTTTGTGTCGAGAGGCGCTCCGCGGCTAAAAATATGAGAGCAAAATGAAATTTGAACGGTGCATATTAGTACGATGTGTAGACCACATATACTGTGTCCACCACGTAATGGCATTTTAGCCAATTGAGGCCGCCTTCGCTGCGCTCGGCAGCCAGTAGAATGCGCGTTATATTTATAAGCCCTATTCATGGCTAAAAGTGCAATTTTTGCATAGTCAAGCCGAGTCACAAAGAGAGGTGCAGTCGAAAGGATGAGAAGATATAGTACCGAAGTAGCCCTGTGCGAGGAAAGGTTCATGCTAGCAAACAGGCCCGTAACGGACGGACTGACGGACGCAGACCACACTCCACCAGGAAGGTAAGATGATCGTGGTGGGCTTCCCAGTCAAGATGCTTTGTCGGAACGACTTGATCTCAGCGTCATCGATTTTCATTATCTGCAACAAAAGTGCGCGCATAGTATAAGCCCCAATATTTTTATTTGTTGTATTCAAGTCGATGTGTGACCTGTGATCTCATATGAGGTCATGATCCTGACTTGGGGTCATTGGAGCATTTTGGAATTCGCATGTTTATCTTTTTTATCCAATCAAATATCGGATGATGGGATCATGCGCCGAAGTAGGAGCGGGCCTAATACAGGTTCGTCCTCGGATCATAACGGTCTCTGCTGCAGCGACAAGACTCATGAGCTCACTCGGCTATTAATAGTTATGTCGCTCTAGGTAGCGGTTTTGATTTAGGCTGGGATATGTGGGAGGATTGCTGGGAAAACGGCAACCCTAATGACATAGGTGAGCGTGATGTGGGTTGGCTGGTAAAAAGGTTTAGTGGACATATTGAAGGCAAATGAAGAGTTCAGTATTATTACTGACTTCTGGAAATTCCTCGTTGTTTACAGGCTGTACCATCCTCGTACCCAAATCTCATTACTTCTTACTGGCTTTTAAAATTCCTCGTCGATTATTTACACAGGCTATATCATCCTCAAACCCAAAACCCACTACTACCCCTGGCCCGGATCCGAATATGCACTTCAATGTGGTGTTTTCAGCATACTTTTATTACCTGCGCCGATTTGACCAAACTGGGCGTAAAATCGGTTATAACCAATCAAAATTAACAATAGAACTCATGTTTGTATACTATATTAAAATGCACATTCATTTCGGACCGGCCCTGGCTGTACTAACTTAAGGAAATTATTTACTAAATGCTTTCCCCAAAAAGATGTTGCAAACGCTCAGATCCATCCGCGTTTAAAAAAAACAAATCTTACCAGCCTACCCAATTTGTGAGCTCTGCGATGGTGTGGCTTCGAGTTAGTGCTCTTGCTTATAAAGCTCGCTGTAGCTGAAACACGTTTTGAGCCCACAACACAAGCTGGACCTAGATCAATGATGTGTTGTCGGCTTTGATCTGTTGTCGCTGTTCATTCGTTATCCTGTTTCGCAACGTGGGTGGGGCCTTTGTGGGTGAAGGTGCTCACGGCATTGCAGTATTGGGCAGGGGATTGATAAATGACCGTGTCGTTCGTGCGTAAGGTTTGGGTACAACTCCTATTTGTGGTTCCTCTATAGTAATATTTGCGGCTTCCCGACGCTATCAATACAAAGAGTACTGCTGCAGCTTGTAGCTACTAGCTTCTAAAATAAACATTAAGGTGTAATTAGAGCGAAACGTTATTGTGGTATTGGGAGCATGCGCGTGCTGTGCTGCACACATCACATGAGTAGTAATGACGGGGCAAAGACATGGCTTGACAGGATGCAGTACGTGGGCTTCGCCCATAATGGTGGCACCATGCCACCATTTTTTCAATTGCTGACAGTCCACATTGAATTTTGCCGTTCAGCAAGCACTTGCCATCCCACCTTTCGTCGTCACGCAAACAATGCGCTCAACTTACGCTCTGCTCTTCACTGCGACCATTCTCCTCGCATGCAGCGACGTTCTGTCAGCAGTCGCAGACAAGGACACGTCCAAGCTTGATAAGGCACCGGCGCCTACATCGATCCTGTTGGCTCCTTCGATCGAAGCTGCCGTCGGAAAGCGGCTACTGAGATCGAACAGAATGGATTACATTGTCGACCACAGCGTGGGCGATGACGACCATGAGAGCGACATCGATGGAGAAGAAAGAGGTGGGACTTTGAGAATACCTAATCAGAGGATTAGGAAATGGCTATCGAAGGATCTGACGCCAAATAAAGTGAAAGCCAAGTTGAGCATCTCAAGCCATACTGCCACGGACAGCGAGATTTATAAGCTCTACCAAAGCTACCTCGCGTCGCACGCGAGAGCCCATCACAGCGTGAACCGCTTTTAGTCTCATCGAGAGTCATTTGCAGCTGTAGCTGCTGCCACTCATTCCGACAAGACATTGAATCAGTTTTTTTCTCAGCTACATCACTTTTTATCTCATAGATGCTCCCTTCTACAGTGTAAGACTGTCCGTACAGTTTTTGTTATTGTTGTTTTATAGTATTGCAGTCAATGTAGAGCCACGTTACGTAGGTCTTAGTCTTTTAGAAAATAAGTGATGTTGTTTATTGAGGGTAGGCAGCACGTATTCCAACGGAGAGAGCATGTACAGCTCGTACTGTACTCGGTTTATTTTAATGGAATCACAGTATATCTTGAAACCACCAGGCCCACTTACTCGACTTGCTCAAATATTGGACTAAATTATGGCGACCTAAAGCGAGGCGCCTTAGAATTATTGACACTGAATATCCGTCCATTTTTTTAAATAAAAACTAAAACGATTTACTGGGTGATGATTGGTCAGACTTTGAGCTGGAATTACCACTTTCAACTAATCAAATTTAAGGGCGTGTATTCCTTTCCCGCGTAATATTTTTATTTTAAATGGAGGACAGTGTTCAGACACGGGCAGATTTCACCGTCGTTGTCTGTAACACTCCAATATCTCAATCCGATATCCTAGTAATTCTATCAAAATAATGACACGTATAGGGTTATAATTGATAAATCTATTGCTAAGTGAATAAATAGGTTATTTACAGTATTAGCTACAAATTAAACATGGTCCAACTTCATATCTTTGTCAAGCCAAAAAGCGGACGGGGCACTCTTTATGCACTTTCATAGGTAAAATACTAGTTGCGTCTAAAATTAAACTTTCTTCCTTAAACGATATGGTAGGATATGCAAAACTCAACCAACACTTATTAAGGGCATTGGTTAAAATATCAAAGAACAATATTCTGTTTACGGACGGAGTAGTTCTTTGATAACAAAAAAGGACGATGCTGCATTTACATGATTGGACGCATCTTGCGTTTCGATAGCCGGTATTCAGGTTCATTATTCCTTTTGCTTTGTCGAACACAGATCATCGCTGCTTACGTTTGTTATGCGTGTTGTGAGTACCATCCTGCTGGCAGTTTCAGCCTCTGTTCTTGCCATCACGAGTGGAGAGTCGACGAACGATCTCGCCGAGGCCGCTTCCATCAGACTTCCACAGCAGGGTGTTGCTTATGTCAAAAGCCTGCGACATCTTAAAAAGCATGACGACGAACTGGCGATTGAAGAGAGGGGCATTCGGACCTGGATCATGGCTTTTCTTAGAAACCAGGATGATATGGATGCAAAGGCAGCAGAGATGATCAAGGGCAAAACCCTTGAGGAAGCGGAGAAAATTTTCGACGATCTTGCGGACAGCATCGTGCCCCTTTTCAAAGATATGAAGCACAAGGGAATCACTCCAGAAACGTTGCAAGGTCATGTCAAGTTTCGAAAACTAACGAAAACGAAAAAAAGTATCTACCGAAGCTCTATAAGAAGTATTGGGAGATCTTCCCGCGAGCTTAAAATTAGATGAACTTGGCGACTGCACAGACTGCCAGGGGTGAGGCGTGCATTGCAGAAGGAATCAACATTCATAACAAGACAATGAGCAGTGTATCTCGACTTTGCATCAGGTTATGTTCTTTATTGCGTACTTTAGTCGCACAGCGAGAACTACCTGCAAATGTACTTAACTTCCTTGGGTCGAGCTAACAAATTATTACCACAATTGTTTGAGATGTGCACGATGCAAAATCTGAGTTGCAATACATGAATACGGTCCAGGTGTGATGTAACTCGTTACTGCTTACAGTGCGCGACAGGGTCAAGGAAGTATTTTTGTGTAACTTTGTCACTTTTTGGTCGTTTTTCAGTGTTTGTGCTAATGTTTGTATTTAAATATGAAGCTAGCAGGCTGGACCTTTGTTCTGGGAATAATGGCCCTTATTTTGTGAGTTATTCTTTATTTAGTATATTAAGATATTCTACATTCCGACAAATTTGCCGTGTTGGTCAGTAGTTTATGTAATACTATTGTTATCGACCGGGTGCACTTAATAAGCTTTTTTTAGGCAAGCATACTTTATGCGAAATCTAAGAACTAAACGCAAAAAAAACAAGTAGTCACGTAAGAGTGAAATACAACCAGTTGGGTTTTGCATAAAGTATGCTTGCCTAACAAAAAGCTTATTAAGTGACGAGTCTGGACACAAATTACAAAAGCAATACATAAATGTACAAAAACGACGCAAGAATCGACAGATACTGATTTTAATATACAGAAACGCCCGAATACGGAACACGGATTTAATCAATGAGCAAGCGTAATATGTTAGCGATATTTTTTTACCCGTGTCTTATATAATTTGAGGGTCAGCTTGCCGAGATTAAGACCCCCATCAAAAACGACCCTACGAGAAACATAGTTACACAGAAATAAAATTCTTCGATGCCGTCACACACTATTACTACAGAATACCTGCCACTACATTCTAACTTTAAGAGGTTCTTCTGATCTAAAAAACCTACAAACACATACGAGTTACAAATTTTTTTTTGACAATATAGCTACAAAAAAACCTGAAATGGGTTGTTCATTGCAATAACCAGAAACTCGTTATTGCTCCGGAATCATCGATATCGCGATGACGAGCTGCAAGATACGGTGCGGCTAGCGGTCTGTCAGTCTGACGATGTTCTCTCCCGGCCCATTTCGAACCGCGATCTTTGTACATGTACGAGGCCCGGAAGAGGTTGTTTGACTCTCCAGAATCCGGGAGCCCGCGGAGGGCCTCGTGTCCCTGTGACGTCTAGACTAATTCTATTTGCTTGCCTTACCGGCGTACACCGGAACCCTAATACCCATGCTCGACGATTGTGTAATGCCCAGCCAAGTAGCCGCATCCTCCTTAACCAGTATGCTTTCAGCCCCTCTTTTCATTGGTATCTGCCCTATTCTTCCACATAGCCTCTCTACCTTTGCACGTCTTGTGCAATCTGAGTGTAGCCTCTGTAAGGATGAAGCGCCCAGTGTTGGTGAAACTGCCCCATTCTCAGTAAGATGCGCTTTTTAAGCTTACGCCCTTTCTTGGATCAGAGGACGTTGCTCGTCGTGCGTCGCAAAAAACGGAGGTGGTCACCGACAGGCAGAAATCGTTCTCGCGTTACGAGAACGCGCTCTTATGGCCAAGCGAGGATGAACGGCACAATGGCGGCGTCAATGACGCGTGACGCGTGTCGTGTCTGTTTGGACCGAAGCCACCCATGAGTAGCGTGAAACCCTTCGAGAAGAAGGACGGAGAGAACCTCATTCTCTGGATCGGTGAGGTCGAAATGGCCATGGGGATAATCCTGCTCCAGTCGGAGCATCTGGACGTAACGCTGGTTATCTCCCAGTATGGAGAGTGTGCTCGCTAGTGGGCACTAACGTGCGGCACGTCTATCGCGCCGCATGTCCTACTTGGGGTCTGCTGAGCATCAGCTTCGTTCACGATAGTGCCGCTTAACCGGGCGTACTGTGTTCGGTCGAAGATTCTTGCTTATGGACAGGGTAAGAAAGGGTTGATGGACTATGCCCAAGATCTTAGTACTCTGATCGCCGGGTTAGCGGCGGGCACTCCTCCAGAACTGGGTTATGGATGGGCTTGGTGGGAGCGACGCTCGAGCGGAGCTATACCGCGTACACCCATAACGCTTTCGAAGAGGACGTGAATGTGGCATTGATTGCCGAGCATAACTTAAGGTCGGCTCGACCTGGTTGGAGTGCTGGTACGGCGAGCTCTTCGAGCGGTCTGGGTCCAATGGGCCTCAGCAATGCTGAAGATGAATAAGTCGAGCTTCTTGCTGTGGAGCGGCGCCCAGGCACTCGACGTTGCTATGTGTGCAAGAGCACTAGAAACTACAGGGTTTATTGTCATCCCCGCAATAAACACGGGGTCGCGGCAATCTAGCCATCCAGGCCATCGCCGGGAAACGGCAACTCCCAGTAGGCACAGAAGGGGTGGCTAGGGAAGATATGGATTCCGTTGCATCTCGAGGGGGTAGAGGGCAACTACGCAGCTACGCAACCCCGGAACGTCGGACAACTACGCCCGTCACTCTACTCTAGAAGGGTGCCAGCAGCATGCGGTGGCACTGGAAGTGTCAACCAGAGATTCAATATATATCCGGCCTCCGACGGGGACACTACTGGTTGCGTCGGTTGGTGTAAAGTTTGAATATTTCGATAGGGTAGTACCCTGCTTGGTCTTAGATCTGGATTCGAGTTATGATCGCGTCCTTGGCATGGCATGGCTGAAGCGCTATAAATCATAATTCGCCTGGAGGCCTAAGCCACCACGTGCTACGCACCCTGGCCAAGTGGAACTTTAGTGGGTCATGAACACATCTATGCTAAGAAGCAGAAGGGCATTTGGCACGTGCAGGAGGCCGAGACGGAGGTGGTGTGGTTGAAATTGACATTGCTGAACCGGATAGGAACGAGGTTGCTGTATGAGGGCCTACATGGTTCAGCGTGTTATAAGCTGAGCGGTACAGGTCGGTTCCTTGTCCAACGGCTGCGTCCTGGCGCGGACAAGCGCGGAGGGGCGCGTAATTAACTAAGTGATACGAATCTGGTCGATGGTATACCGCTGCGCGGCTCGAGGGCCACGGTGAGATGTGAGACGAGGCATCTCAGGGGCAGCCCAGAGGATGCAGCTACGCTGACACCTAGGGCTTTGGGTAAGGGTCCAAGACCGCTTAAATATCAGCCGAGTGAACTACATTTCCTTCGATAACTGATGATACTGCTGCACCCGGTAGTGGGGACGGAGATACCCCTCATCGACCGAGCTCGGCCGCGGGTGGAGAGGAGAAGAAGCCGCAGGGCGTCTGTGACGTCGGAGGTCGTGTCCACAGGGTCCACAGGACTGCTGTGAGCAGCCGTATACACGCGGGAATGGAGTGACGGGGGAGGTCGAAAGTGACATCAGCCTTAACGCTCTGCCCGCTGGGGGATGCTCTGGTACAGCTGGACGAGATTCCGCTGTCGAATTCGGCGAAGCCCTGAAGGCGGACAATTTAGCCGAAGTGTTCTTGCTAAGACCTGAGGAGGAGAAAAGGAGTTGAACTTATCGTCCAAGCAGGCAGCAATAATGCTCTGAGCGTAGGAAGTGGACCAACGATCCTGAAAGATCCGGCGTATATGTTCTGCCCTAGTATAGAGACTTTGTCACGAAGGGACTACCAATGAGCCTGCCTCCGGATCGAGGCGTGTGTCATGAGATAGACCTGGTTCGTAAAACCAAATGCTGTGTGACAAGGCAATGGCCTTTGCTACGAGAGCGGAGTGACGTCATTGACGCATTCTTCCGTTTGAAGCACGAGGCCAGGATGGCGGGTGAGAGCAAAGCTCCGCATTCGACATCCACTTTCTGTGTCAGAAAGCCGAACGCTAAGTGTCGCATTGTTCATGTTTTCAATAAGCTTAATGCAGCCATCATTCTGGTACAGAGCCCAAATCCTCGCTAGTGTATCTGTCAAAACCATGGTAGGATGTACGCTGTACAGCGCACTCGACTTGGGCGATAGCGCCTGCCAATTTCGCATGAGAGCGAGCGATATTTTGCTGACAGCGGTGAGTACTCCAGACGGTATGCTCTGGGAGTGACTGGTGATGCCTCAGGGGCCGTCGAACGCACCAGCGACGTTCAATCGGCTTTTTACGCAGCTGTTCAGGCCCCATCGAGCATACGCTCAGACATATTTTGACGATATATTCGTCCAAAGCCGTGCTGAGCACGTCAAGCCACATTGACCATTTACGAGCGGCGATTGAGTGCATACGCACTAATGCGCTGTATGCCAGCTTGGAGAAGTACGTGTTCAGCGCAGAGGATATACCGTTCCTCGGCTGCTTCATTTGGAAACGTGGCTTGAGGGCAGATCCTGTCAAAGTCAAAATCGTCGAGGACTGGCATGTTTTCGAGAGCCAGAAGGATTTACGCAAGTGGCTTAGCTTGGCCACTTACTTGCATAAATACAGCGCGAATTACACGGAGATGGGTCGGCCATTTTTGAATCTCCTTTAGAAGGATGCGCCGTGGTGCTTGGATGTCATACTCGACGAAGCCTTTCATGCTGTGAAGAAGATCCTTCTTCAGGCGCTAGTACCGTCTGTTTAGCGTCATCTGCGACGCCTCCGATTTTGCCGGGGGGGGGGTTACAACAAGCAGACGCCGAAGGGCGCGAACGTGTGATCGCGTTTGAAACTCGCCAGCTCATATATGCGGAGAGGAACTCCCAGTTCATGACAAAAAGATACTTTCCATTAAGTATGCTCTAGTCAAGTTCAGGGTACACCTGCTGGGCTCTAAGCTTCTTGTGATATTTACTGATCAGGCGTCGTTACGCACTGCAACACAGACGCCACACCTCCCCCAGCGAATGGCGATATGGCTCTCATTCTCCGCCGAGTATAACTGCGAGGTGAAGGACAAGCCGGGGCTGCTTAATGTAGTGGATGACGCGCTCTCGCGCAGACCGGACTATGAA